TTTTAGCACAGAACAGCGACAACAGCTCAGAGGGAGGAAGAGTAAAGCCGAGGTCTGTGCAAGGACAAAGAATAGTTGCTAAAAGGGCTGCCAAGCTGTAGAAATCTTTCCAGCCCTGTCAAAGGCTGGAGCCAGGCTGCAAAACTGCTGCACTTGCATTCTGTACCTGGGCACTAGTATGCAGCATATATTCTCCAGCCTTTGGAAGAAGCAAGGAGCTATATTTCTATTCCTGTTGTTATTTGCATTACAGTGGTAGCTGGAGGCACCAGTCAGGAAGTTGGGATGCACTGTGCTAGCTCTGGACCACAGGCGTACAGGACGGCCTGAGCATCTTTGCTTTGCAATAAACAAGCAACTAGACTTTGAGTTGTCATGTGGGTGCTGAACATGCCATTGGTTCCTACGTGGTCTGTGCCTCATCCCCTAGGCTGGAGTTAGCTAGTTTGATGATTGTTTCTTCTGGTAAAACAATATGCTGTCAACTCCATCTGTAGTGTTCCCCATGACTTACTACAGCCAAGTTAACCTCCCTTCATGGTCCGTCCCCACCCTTTCTTAATCAGCCCAGAGCCAGTATGTCAGGTGCTTGCCTTGCCAACGCTCTCCGCTGTTGGGTCGATGCCAGCAGGCTCTGCAGAGCTCTGCGCCCAGCTCCTCGCTGCGTGCTGTGCTGCCCTGAGTGTAGCCATGCCCTGGCCTACCCAGGCTGCTCCTGGGCTCCATTTGGGGGGGCCATCTGAGCGGTGGGGACCAAGGTGTGAATGCCCCATGTGGGGTCCAGCTCTGATGCATGCGGTGACCATCCTGTCTGCAGCCAGCCCTGGTCTGGGGCTCCTGCCTGGGCCGCTCTGCTGCACCTTTCCATGTCTCCTGGCAGTCCACACAGGGGGTATGGGAGGGAACCTGTGGCCAGGGAGCTGGCCAGCTCCCTTCAGCTCAGCATCCACCACTTGCTGCCACGGGAGCTGCTGCCTACCCAGGGGACCACCTGCGCAGCTCACCGCCAGGGGCGTGGATGGCATGGGGCCCCCATCACTTGCCTCTGCCTGCCCGCTGCCTCCTTCCCCCTCCAGGCCTGGCTCGTCCCTCTCTCCCCTCCCTGGCCCAGCCCCTGGCTCCTCCCACGCCGCCAAGCTGCAGCTCCCAGGCGCTGGCTGCCCTCCTCCCTCCCGCAGCAGGTAACTGGCCTCCCTCCCTGCCCCTCCATGCTGCTTCTGGGGCTGAGCCCCTTCCCCGGCCCCGGTGCTGGCCTCCCTGGCCCCTTCCCCAGGTGGAGCAGGCACGTTGGGGCCTAGCCAGGGGACCAAAGCCCCGGCCTTTCGTAGCCAGCCACCCAGGGAGCTGGTGGGGGGCATCCCTCTTTCCAGGGGCAGGGGCCTGTGGCTCCAGGGAGCAGCCAGGCAGCCAAGCCTGGGGGTCGGCTTCAGAGGGGCTGGGGAGGGAGCTGCTCTTTGTGTCCACTGTGCTCCTCCAGGCACCCCGCAATTAAGCACAGGGTGTCGGTGACTTGTCAAAGCACGTCCCTGCCTGGCGCAGGGGGAGAGGCGGTGGGGAGACGCCCCCTGCCTGGGATGGAGAGACCGGGCTCTCTGGAGTGGCTGCATGACTCGAGACAGGACTGACCTCGCTGGGGTAGGGGGCCCAGAGGCTTGCTCTGGTTGTTTGGGGGGGTCTCCAGGGTGTGCAGCCTACGGGGGCCCCTGTGTGACAGCGCCGCGTTCCCTGAAGGGGAGAGGCAGAAGAGGCATCGCGGCAGGGTTGCAGAGGTTTGGGGGCTTGTTGCTGCTGGGCGATGAGGCACAAGGGAGGGGTCAGGATGTTATCTCCGCTGGAGGTGCAGATCAGGGGAATTTGATGACAACAAGGGGTTGCTTTTGCATGCTCCACTGTCCCATGGGGAGGGTGTGTCCGTGTCGTCAGGTGGGAAGGGTCTTGGAGTGACAAAGCAGTTACCTGCACTCTGAAAGCGAGCCTGGGAGCCCTGCGTGGTTACTACCTTGGCACAGGTATGATGCAGCCCCGGTTTCCTCAATTCTTGAGATTCCAGAGTTGCCAGAAGAAAGCCCTGGGACCTGAGTGTTTCCAGCACATGTAGGATTCCCCCCAAAACCCTGGTGCCTCCAGCGGTTAATTGTGTTGTTGATCTTTCCCATCTTGGCACTTAGCACTCTGATCTTTGCTTTGAGCTGAGTCCCTTGGCAAGATAATAGGCTTTTATCTTAAAAGGTATGTTAAGAACCACAGTCATTAAATATTACTGATCAGTAAGTGGGAAACAAGAACACGGAAGCAGCGAGCTTGAAAGCTCAGCCTGTAAAGCAGGGGGTGGGGGGATGATGCAGCACCAGCTGTTGGGAAAATGATGAGTAATGCTTGCTGCTTCCACCAGGAAAGGCAACCGATTGCTTGGCTGGAACCCGGTGCCTGGGGTTTGTTACCGCTGGTATTTTGGTGCTTGGTGGTCCTTACTTGCTGGTAAATTCCTTCTCTGTCTTATTTAGCAGAAATCCAGGAACTTGCATCCTCTCCTAAGCAACGATGAGCATTGGTGTCTAAGTAATGTCCTTTGATAATTATTATGGCATAATTGTTGAAGAAAGAACTGCACTGGCCTCAAAGTACAGGTATTAGAGTTTGTTGGGGGGTTCCTGTATGTGTTATACCTACTGATTCAGCCTCTCTTCCAGTTGTGCACAGGATCACAAGTTAACCTTTCTCATGGATAAAATTCTAGCTTATTTTTTTTAACACTGTACAACCAGGAGATGAGAGTGGCTTTTCTGGGCCTATTATATTGAAAGAGTTGGGGGTGGGGGAGGGATTAAATGCCTAAAGCCACTGCAAGCCTGACAGCTAAATGTGTGTGTGGCATTTTCAGTGACTTCAAAAAAGAAATCCGTGCTAAAAATGCTGCTTCCTTTATCTGTCCCGTTTACAGCACATATCTAGCTTTCCAGTTTGAGCTATTCTCTGGCCATAGGACCGGAAGCTGAAGAACAGCTGGGTTCTGATTCTGTTTCATCTTGGAAATTGACTTTTTTAATGTTGCCTTGAGAATTTCACTTAATATTTCTGGTGTCTATTTCCCCATCTATAAAATGCAGATGGGTACATCTCCACAGTATTATCATCTTGTGGGTAATGTGAGGATTAATTAGTTACTTCTTGTAACTCATTTTCCAGATGAAACAGACCAAGTTTTTTTTCACAGATTTTTTTTTTCCTCCAGGCAGACGCTTGTTGCATAAGACACGCTAGGTTAATTTGTGCAAAAATGTTTGCAATATGAGCCTGGTTTTGGCATAGATGCTATCAGCACAGTGTTGGTTTTTAGCAAGAGGACAGAAATATGTTGTTGGGTGGGATCAACCACTGGCTTTGGCAGCAATTCCAGTCTTTCAGTAGGTCAGAGTAGGATTGATCATTGTGATATGTCCATGTACTGCTCCTCTGCAGGGCTTGCTGGGAAAGAGACCGGCTGGGGGAGGCTTATTTTAAGGTAACTTAATTTCCCTTCATGCACCTTGTTTTAAACTTTGATAAGCAACAGGGAAGGTTTTGGCAAGGTTTTAATTAAGAAATTCATATTTTCTTAAGCAATGACTGACTGAGAACCTGTATGTTCCAGTTAAAGCCCTTAAGGCAGTCTCTCATAGGGAAAAAAAACAAAGACCTTTCCTTTATTTAATAATGGTTGCTAAACTCAGTTACAGTTTAACTATGTCCTAACTTGCTCGGTAGGCAGAACTGACCCCTTTCCCCAGCTGTACTAAAAAGCAAAGCATTAGAAACAAGTGGAAAGATCAAATTCCGAATTCTGCCAAAGATTTAATGCGTGTGTATACCTGCAAGTACATGAGCAGTCACATGGAGTTCAACGGGACTATTCACATGTATAAAGTTAAGCGCACCTAGTGTAATTGGAGCGTAAGACTAGACTTAATTCCGTTTGTTTTAAAAATAGTTACCATTTAAGCTGGCAAAGATTAAGAGCATGAAGCTGCTTTTAAAGCAATACCAGATTTAGTATGGGTGGGGGTTTTTTTCCCCAAGGGATAGAGGAAGAAAAATTAAGTAAGGAAAACTAACAAAGATCATAGAGAGACGATGGTATTTGGCATAGGTGTGTTCTGGGGACTAAAAACATGAAGCTGGACACTTGCAACTGAATAACTGATGCACAGATGTCCAAATCAGATCCTGAAATTACTAGACTCTGGCTGCAATCGCTGTATATTTCTCTTATTTGCAAGAGCGTTTTACCCCTCCAGTTTCGCTGTGTTCCTCCAATATCTTAAGTTGCAAAGTTTGTTAGTAAAAGGTTGGGTTTTTTTACAAGATACCCCTTTATTTATTTCTTCTGCCAGTGTAGGTTGTTAGGGATGCTTTTCAGATGCTGAGATCATCCTTTGCTGACGTGGCGTAGCCCTTCGTCTTCTCTTTCTTTGAAAAAGGCTTCAGAGCAGGTAACACTGGCAATGAAATCTGAAGTCCCTGCAGATGTTAGAAACAGCAGGAAGCAATGAATGACCACAGCAAATTATTAAGCTTTGATGAGCTTGGACTTGCACTTTTTTATGGTATGGGCCTTTTACAGCTGGTTGGTCTCTAGCTAGTAATAATATTTTGGAGTCAGGTTCTGTACTGGTTGAATTACTCAACAGAGCTTCTTTTTAGAGCCCTGAATGTTTCCTTAAATTATTGCTTAGGAATCGCCTCGCTTTATCTTCCTGTGTTGCACTGTGTGCTTGAGCTACTTCTGAGGGTTTCCATGTGTCTGTGATTTCAAATATGAATCGCCCCCAAAAATGGGTGTTTGCCCATAAATCGTACAGATGTGAAACACTAAAAATGATCCTTTGTGTTCACCGTGCCTAATTTTATTGTCCTTGATGGAACGCAACTTGTCCCATGCTGTACAGTCTTTGAGAGTTGTGCACATTATATTCTTAGGCATACACGTAACAGTAAATTCCTCACAGGTGCTGGTGGCTTCTGTTCTCTTGAAAGTGTATTACTGACATTTGTAGTTAACTGGAATGTAGTGAACAGCTAATAATTGGATTATCTTCAGCTAGGCAGAGCACAGGTACTGTGCCAGCTTTTAGCCATGGTTATACCATTGCACCACAGTCCCGAGCTGCGGTGCTCTTTCTGTTCTAATTCTAGTCAAAGCCTCCTGAAAAGAGATGAGACTCTCCTCTGCTGTTCTTGGTGCTTTTGTTCCTTTGACAACAGGTAACAGCTTAGAGATCTCCAGGCTTGTTTTTGCTTGTGACTTGCTGAGCCAGGATGTGAAACCTCACCTCTGAGGGGAGAAGTGGGGTCTAGTCAACCAACCCACCCTTGGCTTAATTAAAGGGAATGCATTTCTTACATGCATCTTGCATGTGATGTTTTCTAGTCGTATCATGCAGATTTGGAAGAGCCTCAGTGAGATTCTGTGTATAGGATATGCATGTGCAGTAATGTGGGGATTTTACTTCTTTAGGATTCTGTTTCATCCAGCTATGCTGCGTGATCCAGACCAGCTGGGATTTTGAACCTTAAGAAGAGACTGCTCAGGGGCTCACTGCGTTACTATTTTCCTTTGAGGTATGAACCAGATGGGTTTTGGCCAATTTAACTCTGGGGAGATGTGGAAGAAAAACTACAGTCCTTGTGTGTGTTTATAACTGGCTATATATTCCAAATAATTGTTAACTTTCTTTATATACTTCCTGCTCCCTCCCATTGCATCATTCACTTATCTCTGATATCATAATGCCACTGCTCGACAATGAGCTGTTCTGTGTTAGCCTGACTGCAGCACTGAACTGTTACCTGACATCAAGATTGTAGCAGGAGCTGACACTTGGAGGTTTAGTTTCATCCCCAGGATACATTTGTGTAGTCCCCTCCTTGTACTGGAACATGTGAACAGTTTGGGATCCTTTTTACCCTATGCTGGGGGGCTGTATCAATAGATGTTGAGACTGCTGCCATATACTTCTGAGTCTCCAAGATGGATTTTAATAATCTCTAATATCTTAACATTGAAGTAGGTCATTTTGCTTTCTTGTCATCTTTACCATCAAGTCTGACATGTAACCAACCTGAGTCATCCTTCCAACTTCTCCAGTCTGTCTCCTCTGTAGGTGAGTCGTGGCAAGGATGGGGGATGCAAGGGATATCTGTCCTCACCTGGATTCGATAGGTGAGGTCACCAGGGATGACCTCCTGCTCAAATCCAAGGTAAAGAATGCTTTGCTTGCAGTGCCTCTTCCGTTTAGGTATCCACTGATGTGATGCAGAAAGGCTGCTTCCACCATGAGTATCTCTTGAGTATGCCTCCTAAAGAAGCCATCTATGCTCCAGCACTGTAACACTCAAGTCATGTTCATGGGATAGATGGAAGAGGCTGGTGGAATCTGACATTGCTGCCATTCGGCAGCACTCAAAGCCATCTCTGCTGGTGCATTTCTGAATGCCTGTACGTTACCTAGGATCAGGCTCCTTAAATTAACTGTTGGTTTTTTTTATATAAACACAGGGAACTTGCCAGTCTTGTGGAGCTGGGGGACCAAATCTCTGGGCTTGTCTCCAGGTAAAAAGGGCCTGCTTATCTTGTGTGGTGTGGGATAGGCCTTCTCATTTCTTTATATTTACTCTTTCCTAACAATGTACTGTATTTATTGATACCCCTTGGATGTGAAATTGGGTCTGAGATCACAGTATCCTATAAAAAAAAAAAAGTATAGAAGCATGAGAGGAAAAGCAGCACTGTCAAGGTATCTGTCAGCTTTTGGTTACATCCCAGCAAAACAGAGTCCACTGATCAAAATCTTGTCTGCTGCTCATCTTGGCTTGTTTTTTTACATCCCAATGGGAATGAACACTGAAGAGTGATAGTAACCACCATCTGTTTTTAAGCACCTAATGATTAACTGAATTGTGCTCTTGTTGGCAGCCATGAAGGAGATTTCCAAATGCGTGGAACCATCAAAAATCAGTGCTATTGTTGAAGGAGAGGAGCGAGGCAGAGGGGAATGGAAAAGAGCTTTCAGATAAGAGTGGGACTGTCATGTTGGACCAGGCTTGGTGTGCATCATCTAATTTACAGCCTCATCTGACCTGGTCCAAGCAGGCGTAACTTAACCATCACTTCAAAATGTTCTTTGCAGTCATAGTCTTGGCTGTTTCTAATGGAGCTTCACCCTCCTGCAGGAACTCAGATGTCGATCCTTGTCACTTGAAATAGTTAGTGCTAGGAGCTGCGGAGCCATACTCTCAGTGGTTTGTTACTCCTGGAGCACGGAAGTGGGTCACAGGAAGTAATCAAGAGAGTCACAAGTTGTTATGATTAACTGAAGCAAGAAAATCTTGCATTCCCATTCCCTGATGGCACCTTCACAGCCAGATGCTCCATCAGTCCCTGAGAACATGCAAGTAAATCATAGCGATTCTTGTTGAATGAGAATAAAAATGATGGAGAAATGGATCATGATGTTTTTGTTTCTCACTTTGAATGGGGGTCATTGTCAAGAGGTTGAGAAACAAGCTGGAGCATGCATGTCTCACGGATTGTGGACCAGACTTGATCAAGAATCATTCGCGTGCTGTCATAAATTCGCTTGGCACATTTTGAACATAGAAGATGAGTTCCCTGCATACAACAACTTCTGATCCTTGTTGTCAGTGTTAGTGTGTTGATGCACAGGTGCCAGTGCAGCCTTTTACTGTTGTTGTGCAAGGTGCAGGAACAGCAAAACATCTTCTCTCCTTTCCCATCCACAAACACACTGGAGGATTGCCCTGCGTCCCTGTCTCGCCTGTGAACAACTGCTTCCAGCATTTTTACGATTCCAATTAATTTGCTTCATGGTAACACCAAGACTCTGTTCTGCTGCGTCCTGGGTAGTTGTTGAGTAACAGACAGTCCCTGACCTAAACAGCTCTTAACAGGATCAGTAGAACAAAGCTGACAGACGCTGTGCCAGGCTTTTCGCTGCCATTCTGGAAGATCTAGCATTCCTTGAAGTATGAGGACTGATCAACTTTGCAGCTAGGAAGCTGTAGGGGTTAGTTATACCTATAATGTTATATGCTTATACATTCTGCAGTCTTTTAAAAATGAAAACAAGGAGTTTGAATTGGGGAAATGGTTGAAGAAAGAAATGATGAGATGAAGGCAGGGCTGGCTGGCCTCATTGGAGTCATGGATGTGGGCTTCATGGCATACCAAATAGTTTATTTTTTACAACAGATTTTTAATGATGAATCCATAGATGTTTGGGCTCTCATCAGAGAGCAGCTCAAGGAAAATTAATCCCAGTTGCTTGGGCAGGAGGTTTCAGTCATGAACAAAGCTAGTTTTCCAACTGGTTCAGTTTCCTGTAACTTAATTTAGCAGGTCTGCAAAGGGTCAGTACAGATATAGATCTGCTGGCTGGGGAAGGGGTCAGTGAACACCTCTTCATTTTGTGATGGATTTATCTTGCCACCCCTAGCTCATTCTCCCTCTTTTCTCTCCTCTCTCTCCCTAGGTTGGGTGTCCTTATGTTGGCTGTGGGGAGTCCTTTGCTGATCACAGCAC